CAAAAATTTATATATTAAAATATTTAGGATACAAGTAAATCAAGTTTAGCATCATTTTTACAACCATTTCAAGGACGTTTATGGGTGATGGTTGTATTATCTGTACATGTTGTTGCTGTTGTTTTATATTTACTTGATCGTTTTTCACCATTTGGTCGATTTCGTTTTTCATTACAACAAAGAACAGATCGTGGAAATGGTCCAGCTATTGAAGTTAATACAGAAGAAGATGCACTTAATTTATCACGTGCACTTTGGTTTACTTGGGGAATATTATTAAATTCAGGAATTGGAGAAGGTTTGAAAAAAGACAAACAAAAAAAAAGAAATTTCGAATCATTTTATTTGACTTGAATTATTCTTTAGGAACACCAAGAAGTTTTTCTGCTCGTGTTCTTGGTATGGTTTGGGCAGGTTTTGCTATGATTATGGTAGCTTCTTATACAGCTAACTTAGCTGCTTTTCTTGTGCTCGATCGACCTAAAGCGAGTATATCAGGAATTAATGATGCTCGAGTACGTTATTGAAATTTTAATTAGATTTATTTGATTTTTTTGTTCTTTATATTATTAGTTAAGAAATCCTCAAGAAGAATTTATATATGCAACAGTAAAAGGATCATCTGTCGATATGTATTTCAAACGTCAAGTTGGTATGTTTACAAAAAATACAGTTTATTAGTGTAATCTTTTTGGAGCTGAAATTTGGAACTCACATTTGTTCTTTAGCCTAATTATATTACGTAATGTGGAAAATCTCTAGCAAACTAAAGGTTTTTTTTCGAGTATAACCGATTAATAGAGACACAATCTCTCTTCTTTACTTTGTTTTTCATCTGCGAATTTCGTTTTCCTTAATTAAATATTAATTATTATTCTAACTATCGATTGAAATGGAAAATAAGTCTATTGTACATAGTAATTTTACAGTCTTAAACAAAAGTAGCTGTATCCATGAAGTACTACTATTCTTTATAAGATTGAGCTGATGTCTTGATTGCAAACAATAATCTACACTCCATTGGTTCACCTGTGCTGAACTTATGATTCAGACATCTTGTTTCTCGTGAGATCAGTTCATCTCAGCGATGTTAGTGCAATTATTTTCGTGCAATTCTTCATTCGAAAGGTTACTATCATAGCTAAAGTCTAATTGGAATTGCGTTAGAAATCACTTGTTTATTCACGATAACTCTTCAATTCCTTTGAAAATTTTCTGTGAAATGATAAGTCTGTTCGGAAAGTTTTAGAGTCACCGAACTGAATGAAGTCAAGTAAACACTATGACATGAGTTCAGTATCTCAGAGCATTCTAATTACTAAGATTTTGATTATAGTTGCGAACAAAAGTTTATAGCAATTGTATTTTTCAGTTTTCTTCCCGATGGTAATTGCTAGCAAGATTATGAAAAAAAAACAACATTTTTCTAACTCAAAGGATTCTCTAAAACCTCCAAAAGTGACACTCTGACTTCAATGTAGAGCTTTTGAGAACATATTTTATTTGATAGAACAAATAGTTTTGAGAGCAAAATGCTACTTTTCCAGTCTTTCCGTGACCTTCCTTCGTCAAACTATACTCAAAGTATAGAAGATTTCAATGTATCAAACATGCCGAATATATTGCTTTTGCAAACCCTCATTCAAGCAGTTTTCTTGGAGCCTTCAAACTCACCAATTCTAATAGAGAATTATTTCAACTACGTAAATGTTTTTCTTACATTCTTCCTAGCCATATACCGTCGCGAAGAAAACTTCAACATACAATTACTCTATATTTGTGTTCGTCACTATGGGTATATCACGAGCTTTTGATCATAATAAATTAGATATATGGGAATGCTTTTATTGCTGAAAAGAAAACAGTGGTACCTTGTGGAATGACAAACAAAAGAGCTTTTGAGTGCATATTTTTGCTTATTCATATGAACCCAAAATATCACTTCAATATCATATAGAATAGTAACGCCTCATGAGGGACGGCTACTGTTTTTTTTTCGGATTATATCTAGGGCAGATCTCAAGACACTATTATATATGTCTATAAACTCACAAATACTGACATAGATTATTCTATCCAGTTCTAACTTGATTACATATAAATTTTTATCTGCACAAAAATCAAAGATTAAGTCTTCTTGTTGATGCTGTTGCTATGAAGCTCTGAGAAAAGAATTTAACGTCTGTTGTCCTTGGTTGCGATAGAAACGTACCCAATAAGCATTGATCTCCCTTCTCCGTTACTATTAGAGAACCGCAAAACTTTGACTTAAAACTTACATTTATTAAAGTGCAAATTTCACAAAAAAACGAAATATTCAATTGTTTAATTTATAGAACTTTCGACAATGTATCGAACAATGGAATCAAAAAATTATTTAACAGCTGAAGATGCAATAGCAGATTTAAGAAGAGGGTAAATAAAAGAAAAGAAAATCATTTTATTATAATAATAGAAATTATGTGTTTTTGTTTAATAGAAATTTAACAGCATTCATTTGGGATTCACCAAGACTTGAATATGAAGCAGCACAAGATTGTGATTTAGTTACAGCCGGTGAATTATTTGGACGATCCAGTTATGGAATTGCATTAAGAAAAAAAGATGCATGGATTAGTCCATTATCTCATGCAATATTATCATTTCATGAAAAAGGTTTTATGGAAACACTTGATAATGAATGGATTTTTTCCAAAGGGTATATTTGTTACTTTTATTTATTTATATATTATGAAATTCATTTTTAGAACGAAACAATGTTCAGATCAATCATCATCACCAGCTACACTTGGTGTACATAATATGCTTGGTAAGAGAAAAGAAAATTTATTTTCTTTGCATTTATTTATTATCATTTAAATGATATAGGTGTTTTTCTACTTGTGGCTGGTGGAATATTTGCTGGATTTTTTCTTCTTGCTATTGAAATAGCATTTAAAAGACGTAAAGAAAGACAAGAAAAAGAAATGGAAGTATCTCGAAATGCATTACTTCATTGGAGAAAAAAAATTGAGGTAAATTATTAATATTTGAATAAGTAAAATAGAATTTTATTCTCTTTAATGATTGTCAATGACAAATATTCCCTTGTGAACACTTGTCGTTTCTTTTCCACTAGAATAAATTCCGAATATATCATAGATCATTGTTTATTTAATGAAATTACTTCTACTGTAAATGAAAAAACGTGATGCATGTACAATCTTGAGTGAATAAAAAAGAATAATAATTGTCTTAAGCTGTAGGACGCGTTGGAGTAAACAGAAGATTGACTGACACGTCTAATCTTTATTACAGATCATAATAGATCGCAATCTTTGTTACAGTCTCGAACGTGACAGAATCCTATTTAGTAACTATAAGAACTAATTAGATAAGTCTTTTCTTATATTCAAATACAGATCGCTATAGTATTCAAAAAAACTCCTGACTAGAACCCATCGGATCCAAGTTTTTCGAATCCGGAGTCAATCCGACGAGTTTTAATCCTAGCAGAAGTTTTGGAACATTCATACTCTAAATAACACAGGAATATCACTGGTTTGAGTTCAATTCAGTTCGTTTTTGGTCTTTGATGTAAAATAATTGATCAAATGTTGTTTGATCATTGCTCAGAGCATCACGATTTCACTGAGAAGATGATTGTTCCAGTAGTCATTTTTCATATATGTTTGTCTACATTTACTCGCTTTTTCGAATTTAGTTCGATCTCTGTCACCTATATAACGGTGTAAATTATTTTTGTTAACTTCTTGATACTTACAAATTCTGAGAAAAATTAATTCTTTTAAATTATAGAAACGTAAACAACGTTCAATGATATATGAGTCTGATAATCAACAACAACCAGCGGTTGATACCGATTCACTTAATGAATTGCCATCAAATCGAATTGATCATCATAAACTATCCAATATGACGAATAATGCAACAAATTTGGTTTATTAATAACATACAGATAAAAATTATTTTTTTTTGTCTATTATTTTAAATTTTTATTTGTAGAAATTTTTTTTTTCTATCTAGTCATCATTGTCTGATAGTTGTTTTTGTTTGTACTGTATTATTTCTTTAATTATTCAAGTAAAAAAAAAAAAAAAAAAGTAATAAAGTATTTTCAATTGTATTGTGTATAGTTCAATTAGAAAACACAATGCAATCGTTAATTCAAAAAATGGAATAAAGAGGTAGTGGTTTTTCTTTTCAACAAAGTTTTTTTTTCATTTTTCTCTCACAAAAAAAAATGTTTCTAATACATCAATTGATTCTGCAGCTAATTGTTTTCGTCTAAGATCACCCTTCTCTTTCAAAATCCTATATTTGATCTGTGAGTGTCCTAACCGGCATGTGATAATCTACAACAAGAGACAAACTTGAAAAAAAATAAATAAAGAATATTTCTATTAGCTCTTGGATACAGAAATATTAATAACGACGATGATTGACAACGTATCCTTCTTCTTCTTTTTTTTCTTTTCTGCTTTTCATCAAGAATAGAGAACTAACATTAATCTATACGTAACATCTTGCGCTACAACTGAGTAAACGAACAATCCACATATGTATGCATCATCATTAACATCATCGATTGCTGCTTTATATTCTTTATATGTGAGAGAGTATTAGTCGAACGATGTCATTTCAGGAAAACTAGCCAAGAGAGAATTGTCATAATAGACCGTGATAGAATAGACACATATTTTATCTACAAGTTGAAGGAGAACGTTTCCAATGACCATGAATAGCATCGTTTATCATATGAAAAGACTTCTATTTTACTTCTCTTGATCATAGTCAAATTGATTGACAGAGTATACTTCTTAGAAGTCTTGAAATAACAAGATTTGTAAACTTCTATGGAAAATTATTTGTTATGGTAAGTAAAAATTTTTTTTTAATGATTAGTATATATTTACCGACATTTTCAATTAGATAAGATACATATTTTTATCATTCTACTCTTCTTTATAATAGGTCTTATTCTTTCATCTAATATTCCGATGATAATTGAAACTCGAGAAAGTCATTCACGCCTCCTTCATATTTGTGAACGTCGTCCTCGTCGTCGTCATCATACATTAGATAATGCAACATTAGATCAATTTAATTTTATTTGTGTACCATTAAATCTTGATGAGGTAAAACTTTTCTATTTACTAACTAATAATATGAATTAGCCTTGGTCCATATGGTATATACGTAATAGACATATGTAAATGAAAGTTTTCTTTTTTTTTCTATCTTATTAAATCTTATTCTATAGAGTTAAAAACCTTTAACAAGAAAATCTTTTGCATAAATGATTTTTATATTAATTTAGACGCGGATTAATTCGTCATCGTCTCATTCTAATTTAACTAGTACATCTTCAAACGATTGCTCAACTTCAAAAACAACAAGATTATCATCTCCTACACGTCGTGTTCGTTTTAAATTTGATGACAATGATAAAAATGGAGATGATTATAATGATGAACAAATACGTTCATCAGATGTTATTCGATTTCCAAAGAATTATTCAACTCATCGTGTTGAATTTCAAATTCCTATTCATATTGGTATCATTATTATACTGTTATATAATTTACATATATCGTCAATATTAGTCTTTTTCTTTTTATTCAAGATATCAACCCATGGTTAAATATTGATTGTTCATCTACAATGTCTACACCAGCTAAAACACGTTCGTTAACATCACAAAAAATTGATATTAACTATAATAATAATAATAATAATAATAATAATAATAATAATAATGTAATGCATCAACAAAGCATAACAACATTCATCAATTCTCCAATAGTACGTAAGAACAAAAATATTCATTTCACATTATCAAAAGAATGTATTATTCAAAGAGATATGTATTCAATATCGATTATGTATTGAAAGAAACAATGCTATTTTAACCTTCTGTTACTAGTTTATATACTTGATTGGCATGATAAGACAATAGATGCGTGAGAGGATACTGTTTGATTATAAACTGATATTGTTTAACATATACATGAATATATGAATGATTGACACATTGTTTATTGTCAAAAATACTATTCTTTGGCTGGTATTCATTCATTATAATCGTTAAGGACTATGTGAACAATCATTTTTGTTGGAAGTATCCGGCAGCGACTGGGTAATTTATTTTCATTGAAATATAAGAAGGAAATATGTGAAGAAAATTAAATGAATCAAAGAAAAGAAGACCGGAGTGAACGTAGTATAATCCAGAATTGTTTTCTTCTTCTTTCGTTCTGATCTGATGTTGTTTGTTCGCTTGCATGTTTGATTTGTAGAGCAGCAAAAACAAGCCAGACATCGCTATAGACCCTCTTCGTTCTCGACAGCAATCGATTCTTTTCTGGTTTCCCCCTTCTTTCTTTTTCTTTTTTTACAGTCAGTCGGTGCACCATCATGCTCGACGGCAAAGCAAAAAGTCTTATCTATAGAGCAAAAACAACAACAACACCGAACGTGCGGACGTTCTTTAGTCGTCTTCTATTTTGCTTTCTTCTTCTCAATGTTAGTAATAGTGGCCCATGAATATTTTTTTAATCTCGTTATTGTCTATGTGAATGTGCCTTACAAATAAAAAGAACAAACGATAGTTTGTACTTTTGCCTTAGCACAATTATCAATTGATCAAAGTTTGATCAGCATATACACATTGTTGACATTTTCATACTATTACTATCGGTATGAACATTCTTGCAACAGCACGATCATATCATAGAAAAGAAGTTTGATTTATACTTATTGATAATGGATAATACAAAGAAACTACCTCAACGTAATGCTACTTGTCGCTGTCAGCAGGTAGTAGAAAAAAAAAAGATATCAGTGTCGTGTTTTGCTTTCACAAATATAACACACATATATATATATAAATCTTTTTTTTGCAGTCTTTTTTTCTGCCTTATTGAAATTTTTCTTCTGTATTTACTGAATAACTTTATACTTCGACAAACATCAAGGAAAAGAGTTTGCCTTTGTTGTTTTTTTATTTTAACTAATATTTGTTATACAAAACCTTGACTACTACCATAAAAGTATATGTTCATGAAATGATTAGATGCAATGTTTTTCTTATCGTTATTTGTATAGATATATTCTCGCTTCTGAAAGAAAGTTAATAATAAATAAAAGATAAATATTAAACTATAATGTATTAAAAAGACATGTTTTTTTCTTATTTTTGAGATTTTACATGTCATTTCAAAAGACATTTATCAATTTTTTTTGATTTATTCGAAACATCATACTCATCAATCATTACATAAACTAATATACGTGCATGATATGCCATTTGACGTTTTTTTATGACATACAAATATACTCCTTCCAACAATAACAATATTGTCATTACTTTCACCTTTACTCTTTCTCTTTTTTTTACACTTCTTGTATTACTATTGCTTGTTTGATCTGTTGTCTAGTGAGAATTGATTATTGTATAATAACTAGTGAAGGATAGACAAGAACATTTGTTCAGTCAACAACCGATAAAGACAAAAAAAGTGTAAGAAGTTTGGAGTATAAATATGACATTGTAGTGTCATATGCTAAATAGGTTAACGCGTGACATGGAAGAGAATGAACGTTATTTTTACCTCTGACAAAACATGCTTAAGATGTAGAGAGATTTATATCGTGTTGAATCGAACATAAACTCAAAAAAAAAAAAAAGATAATTTATACGTATAGATAATATAATCTATTGTATTCTTCTAGCCGTCAACGATCGCTTGTGACAAGACGCAAACACAGTGGTACAAAGATATGTATTGTCAATTACACAAAACACCTGAAAATAAGAAAGGTAAATTAATGCAAAACAAAAATATTTCAGTATTTTGTTAATCATTTATGTTTTTAATGATATACAAAAAAACAACAAACAACATAAAAATAGCTCGGAAAAACTAGTAAATATCTAATCATGATTTAGATGTCCTTCTTGTCAAATTACCTCCTACATCTTCTCGATATCGAGAGTATTATCAGCATCAAGGTTTGTTAACAGCCTATTCTCTCACCATCTTATATCAATAGCCATTTTGCTTTCCCATTTTTGTTTCTTCATGCTTCTTAATTGCCTATGAGAACTTATGAAAATGTTGAATGAAGTACATCAACATTCTCTTAATGGCTTTCAATGTATCGTACAATACTTTGTATATGTGATGAATTTCAAGTAGATGCTATGTACAGTTTTACATTTATACAATCCATTCTAATAGTCTCTTTCTATATGAAAGATAACAGACAGTTGAACTCATTTACTGCGGTAATACATAATACAATAGGAATGTTTAAAAATGAACTTTCGTTTTTCTATTATATGATAAATGCTAAATCGTTATCTAAATATTGTATCCAAACATCTATTATTGTGGATCGAAATTACTTTTTTTTTTTGTTTTATTCTATTGACCCATCGTTGTCTTCCTATGTATAGGTCTTACTGTTTGTATTGCATGATGTTATCTTTTCTTTATCCATATTCAATTGCATGAAAGAATTAATTTGAAAAAAAAATGTCATGTCTAAATGATATTTCTTCTTCTTTTTTTTTTTTAAGACGAACAACAAAATCCATATAAACCAACATATACATTTCCTGAAGAATTTGACGGTAATTTAGAACGTATGGAAGACTATATGCGAAAAGCAGCTTCGCAAAATATCGACGATGATTATCGTAAGATTGAAGAAAGATAAAGTATTGAAATAAATTAATTATATCATATAGGACATATCTCTGCTTCACCTGTGCGAACATCAACTACACCTATTAAGTAAGAGATTATTCAAAGGACCAATATTTCAGTACTTTTATTTTCTTATCACAGAGATCATAAAACAATACCGAAACGAAATCCAGAAAAACTAATACGTGTTGATGATCAATTATCATCACCAACAATGACAGCATCTTCGATAGAACAAGCTAAATCAGTAAGTAACAAAAGAAAGATATATGTATAAGTTGATATGCACATCTGTTCATTAATTCAATAGAGTAATGATGCTTCGACATTATCAAAAATGATCAATTCAAGACCAAATACTAACTAGTAAGTTCACTGATGCATAATAATTCGTTATGGTTGTTACTATTCTTAGTATACGAACACCATCATCAATAACAGATGATGAACAAAAATCGATCTATAAACGAATATTACGTGGTGGAGATATTCCATCAGCTGGTTTACAAAAATTTTCTATTAACAATCGAGGTAGGCATTCAGATTTCTTTTCTTTTGTTTTTTAATGTGAATAAAAATATCTGCAACAGCTGTCACGGAAAAAAAGAAGAAAAAAAAGAGGAATATAAATGAAAAGGAACGATCATTTTTTGTTACAAATTCATGATGAAAGTTTCATCTTCATCAAGACAGCGTCCCTTAATTCTTACAAATAATTTTCAACCCTCACCGAAATTATTTGCTTATTATTCTGTACATTGGGAGCAAAATCAAACATGTCAGTTATCTGATTTAATCGACAGTAATATGCGTTTCGAAATAAATTCATGTTTATATTTTCAAAATATAAATAATAATGAAGATGATAATGAATTGGAACAAATACATGAAGATGGTTGTGGATATGTTATAACTTATCCTTCTCATATTCATCCAACCGATAATTTACAAATCTATAATTTTGATCGTACAAAAAATTTTCTTTTAACATCGAATGATGTTTATTCTTACAGTAAGAGAAATTATATTTATTTTATTAATAAATTAGTCATAATATAAATTTATTAGACTAAACTTAACATGAATAATATTTAACAATAGAACCGTAAATAGTTTATCGATAGAATAATAAAAGAAAGAAGGTCTTCTATTCTCTCGTTTTTTTTTTTATTACTTCTTCTTATCAGTATATTTCTATTAGAAAGTGTCAAATAAGTGGCGGCTCGATGCATTTAACCTTTTAACTAGGTTACTCTTTGTTCGTTTTTATCTGCTTACATCATACAAGATGCTTTCAATTTCATCAATACATTTAGTTTGAATTTTTCTTTTTCTTTCGCAAAAAGTCTGCATCTTGAGATGGTTATATGGTAAGAAAAGAAACCAATGAACGAAATCATCAAAGAACCCACTTATACATATGCATGCACATTCATCTTTTCTATGACTATAAAAAGTGTTAGCATTTGGTAACCTTGAGAGATAGTGAGAAGGTTTTTTGTTTCTCTCGACCTCGTTATGATGAGACATCTGTCTCGTGTCGTTTGATATCCATAAATATAATGTGTGATTAGACGAGAATAAACTAGAAGCAGAAGAGCAAAAGAGTTGTATGTTAACATGCAGATTGCATAAATATATTTGACCTCGACGACACAAGCAAGCAATGTAGTATATAAAAAACCAATACTGACGAGCTAGTTATTCATTGATTTTTGAAGAGTAATTAGAAATGTTGATTACTATCTGCACCTGTGCTTGTGTATCGCCTAGCTATTTCACAGGAAAGCCTTGAATCGATACACATACTCTGATCTTTTTTTGAGTAATTGATTTCATCGATCTGTTTTTCTTTTGATTGGTATATGTGTCTCTTTTATTCTCGTTATAAATATCATACTTCAACTTATTCTAAATTTCTTTTTTTCTTTTTTCTTTTTTGTATTCAATCTGTTTAGACTTTTAATATTTCGCGTAACATTCAACTATGTGACAGTAATATAAATTGAGAATATATGAGAGCGTTGTTCATCGTAACAACTGCAAAAAATAAAAAGAGAAAAAAAGATCGAAAAGTACGTGTGCATTCGAAATGCTTTGATGATGATTCGATATGCTCTTGTGTGTGTGTGTGTGTGTGCTTATATGAATACACACAGACAGAGCATCAACATCAATAACATGCGCATGCACATAAAAAAGAGAACACTTATTTACACATATTTACACGACTAGAGGCATCGAGAAGTAGAAGAACGAGAGGGAAACGAGAGAGAAAAAAAAATCTAAAGCGAAATATTGCCATAACCATATATCAACACTGTACATTTACTCTAGCTTTCTCCGCTTGTTTTTTCTTCTCTCTTCCTCCCTCCCTCCCTCTCTCTCTCTCTCTTTCTTTTCTCCTCCTCTTTTTTTTTGGCCAATTTTTTCATATTTATTCTCTTCTATTCTCCCGGCGTCACACTGCGATGGCGATCATTGTGAGAATGTGCGTATTTTTTTTTTCATACGTATGAGAGGGAGAAAAAAAAGAAAATAGAGCTCAGTAGTAATTAACGACAAGAAGACAAAGAAAGAATAGTCAAAAGAACTACTCTTCATATACTCAAAGCATACCTACATAATTAGACTAAGAACAACATCGATTATCATCGTTGTCTGCTCAGTATATATATATATACATATACATATACATGTATATCCGTTCATAACACTTCACTTGTAGATAAATAGAAACAAGCCTTTCTTTTTTTCCTCGTTTCGCTTTATCTCTATCATTTCCACGGCTCATTGACAAAAAAAGTAGGCGACAAACGGCCAGGTAGTGTGCATACATAATATACATACCGGACTGTCATCATATTACGAAGATTCGAATGAGTGTCAGTCATTCATTATAATTGTGCGATCAACCATATTGACAAAGAAGAAGAAGAAGAAGAAAAAAAAAACGGGAACTATTGCCGCTTTTCATATTCGTTGTATTAAAATAAATGGCAGACGAAAAAGCTATTAGTAAAATTGAAACTGACACTACTGAAACTATTGATCATGGTATAAGTGAACTCGTTCGAATCGTTAATAACCATCTTAATCCCGTTTCTTCAACTGTAAGTTCAACGTCTGGTTCAACACGTACATATACTCCACCATTAATGGGTACATCGGCTCGTGCTGCTAAACGTCGAATTGATAGTGATTCTGGACCAATACGTATTGAAGGTACAGATATATATAATCAACAATTACAACATCACTATCAAAATGTTCGACATATATTGGAAGATCAACAACAACAACAAGAATTGCATATTTCAAATGTTGATACACCACCTGATTCTCGACAATCTTTTAATGCTAAACGAGACTTTTTCGAACAACGTTTTAAAACACCGCCGCCTACATATGATTCACCACCACGACAACAACAAGCACAAAAAATAGTTACAACAATTACGACAACAACAACAGCAGCACCAAAAATAAATACTCATGATCGTACAAGTTCGTCATCAAATGAATCACCATCGGTTGATCGTGTACTTGAACAAGCCGTGGAGTTACAAAAAATGAGTAATATTAATCCAAATAAAAATGATTCACAAACACCAGTTATTATCGAACGTACTGAAGAATATCAAGTATTTTTAGATTCTTCAAATCATGAAGTTCGTCGTACACCAAGTATTTCACGTACATCTATTGTTAATATAACTAAAAGTGGTCATGCAACAGATCTTGATCAAGCACAAGCACAAGTTGAACGTCTTACTGATGATCATGAAGCTATACAACATTTAACTCGTGTACTACAAGAACATAATGTAACAACAATTAATGAATATAAGCGTTTACCATCTGTAACAAATCAAAATCTTGCTTCATCATCACTAACAACATCACCATCTGATGTTCTTATTGATCGAACTAATTTACCAATAACAAGTGAATTTGCTGTTATCGATGCATTAGTTTATAATCCTATAGGAACAATTGATGGCAAATATCATAATTTATTAAATAAACGTTATAATGATATTCGAACAAATTTAGGAAATCCAGAATATATAAATTCATTGAAACAATCAGCAACAACAACAACAAAAACAAAAACAAAAAAAGAGTCAAAAAAGAAATCAAAAGAAAAGAAACCGAAGGAAAAAAAATCCAAGAAAAAAGCATCATCAAAAACTGATACTATCGAACAAGCCGTAGTTACATCTGATGTTAACGCTCCCGAATCATTATTAACTCAAACAACAGAACCAATTACAACAACGGCATTAGTCGAACAAACTCCATTAATTGATCCAAAAGAAAAGAAAAAACAAGACAAAGAAAATAAAAAAGCATCGAAAACCAAATCTAAACAAAAATCAAAAAATGAAGATTATCAAGTCGTTGATGCCATTATCAGTAGTCCAATATCACTTCGTCTGCCAGATCCTTATCTGGTCAAGTATAAAGTTAATCCGCCACTATCTCCATCATCACCTCTCCAATCTATTCCATCATCAGTAACACCAAATACGGTTGTAGCAACAACAACAACAACAACGACAACTACAACAGCGACGACAGCGGCTACAACACCAAAAGATACTACTACTCCTATAGTAGAAAAAAATCAGACATTGTATCATCTTGTAAAAATTGTCAGTGAACTTCAAACACATCATGCAGCTGCTTTAAAAGCTGCATTAAATACTGTGCCACCACCTACCATGACTACAACAGCTGAATCGAAAGAACCAGTCATTTTAACTAATCAATCAGTACCTGTTATAAATGAAGTTGTTTATCAACAACCTTTATTAAAACAACCAGATTTAGTAATTTCGCCTTCTCATCAAACAGAAACTAATCTACAATCTGAATCAATAAAACCACGTGTTATTTATCGTTATATGGATGAACAAGGACGTATACTTAAAATATCATCGGTACCACCATCCGAACTACGTGAACAACCAGCACAAGCATATGCATATTATACGACAGAACCACCATATTTATATGGTAGACATATCGCTATTGATGATGAACGTCGTTATCCATTACCACAATATGAACAACATGCTACATGGCAAGGTGAACCTAAATTACCAACAACAGTAACACGAGAAGATTTAGAATTACGTGATAGACGTGTACCACAATTAAGTGAACAATATGCACCAGGTGGACGAACAATACCTGTTTCAGTTGAACATGAACGTTCATCAAAAAATTCTTCTCAACAACAATCACAACGAATATATCATTATCCAAATCAACAGAATGTTAAATTAGCTTGGTTACCACTTTCTTATCCTGCTGATCAAGCTATACCACCAACTGGTGCTGCTGGTTATGAGACAGATTCAACAGTTAGTGAACGTTCGGCAACACATCGTACCTATGACTATGTACCAATTGATAGTCATTATCGTTATTCTAATCGACCACCTTATGATGATTATTATTATAATCGTTCACCAGGTCCATCCTATTATCGACCTCCACCATCCGTATATTATGGTGGTCGTGGTATGTCACCTGAATATGGTGGTTTATCTCGTAATTATATTGAAGTATTTCGTGGTGGTGATTTTCGTGAAACGAAACCAAGTGAAATATATTCTTTACCATTGAGTGAACAAATGCGAACATCACCAAATTATCCATCAAGTAGTCGTCATTCACGCTATGATCAATATCAATCAGAAAGATATGGTACAATGTCAAATCGTAATACTTCTACTCCATCATCACCACCAGTTTATTGTTCTAATTCTTTACCAAAATCACGTTATCAACATAACATTCCACCATCAACTGTACATGCATCAACTTATTATACACATCGTAGTCCTTATCATCATCGTACAGTTCAAAGTAGTCCTAATCCAGAATGTAAAAGTTATGTTCGTCATTCAAAATCATTTGATTATCGTCCATTACGTACAAAACTTCAACGTGAATATAAAATAACACCTAATTTACTTGTTGATGAATGGGATTATCCACAAACATCTAATAATATGAAGTATTCAACAACAACATCAACTACAAATCGAAGTGGTGTTTC